TTACTATAAATTTGGTTATTACTTGATTAGTTGTCATCAAATTAACTAATAGTATCCGAACTTCATACACATATTAGTAAACGTATGGTTAATTCATCAAACAACGTTCTGAAAACCAATCAAGCGTGTTCATCATAAAGAGTAAACTATTAATCAATTATGAAAAGGACAAAAGAATTAGATAGTAACTGAGGCTATTAATTACTTCGCTATATGTGTTCTGCAAAACTTGTTGTGTTTTTGCTGTTTTGATTCTTTTGAATATTCGGGTTTATATCTTATAGTTTGCTTCTTTTAAGTCGATCCAAAATCTAATTGTCACATGCATAGAATATCATTTTTCCAGGGATAATTGAAAAAATTGCGTATCATTTAAGAAACTTAAAAACACATAATACAAGTGATATTTGAGAAAATATTATATTAGTTGGTATTCAAAAATTAGTATTGCAAAATATGGTCATAAAAAATAAAACTATACTGATAAATAAATGTATATAAGTTACTACTGCATCTTATGAAGACATCAAATATTCTACTCAGCAGAGAGAGTGATTTAGATGACAGATAGTTACGTTATTTTTTAGTTGTACTATCATATACAAAGACTGGATATTTTAAGGCTTATGTGATAATTATTTATTTAAAACAATTACAGTAGTACTCGATATTGATTTCACTACTTTTTTTAACAACAGACAAACATAGCAGAGAAATTGTGGTATTCATATAGAAATAATTAATGACGTCGAAATAAATGGGATGCCTTTCTTGTATTTGATCCAAATGTATGGCCCAATTTGTTTTTTTTCGTAGTGTGCCTAAACCCTAGATTCGATATGCTGGATAAAATAAATTACACAAAAGAAAAATAAACAAAGTTTTAGGCCCAAATTCTATAAGAGAACCAAACACACATACGTCCTCGGTAAAATGATACTAGAAACGAATGTGCTAATGTAAAAATCTGGAGCGATGCTATATGATTATCGCTAAGCTAAGACAAGTATGCACGTCACAGGGGACATTATTAAAAAAATGTTTATTAGCAATGCAATTTGTGTATCGCTTAAAACTATAATTCGTTTGATAAAAATGTTTAGTAGAAGATTAGCAGTGAAATTTATCACAAAACAGCATCACGTATAACAAAAAACTGTAAACTAGTCTTTAGATTTTGCAGACGAAAGTTTCATCTCATTGGACTTTCTAATTCCCAAAGCATGAATTATAATATAAGATTATTATTCATGGATGGTAAATATATAGTATAATGGAAAAATAGAAAAAAGGTTGAATCTTATCGTTTTTCTGAAGTTATGGAACGGTCCTTAGCCAAATAAATGTAAGCAAATGCTTTTCAATTTCCCACCCAACGCACATGGTCTCCAATTCTTTACTCCAAAACCACCTTTGGAGGTTTTGACAGCAATAACCTAATCATGTTTTAAATTAAATCCAACTAGCAAAGTTTAAAATAAAAATGAAACGATTGAACGAAGACAATATTAAAAATAACCATACTATACAACATGAATGTATGTTAAAAGATAAAGCCAGTTAAATGAATATAAGCGTTGAAAATCTTTTGTTCTTGTAGTTGTAGTGAAACATATATGTTGAGTTGTGAAATTTTAAGTTTTTTCTTTGTCAACATTGTGAAGATATATTTTGATATATCATATCTGTAAACGTTTGGCATATATATTCATTCTTCGCTTATTGTTGAACATTAAACTCGTTGTTCATAGAACGAAAACGAAAAAATTGTAATTTTTTCCATAATGAAAATTTGAAGTACTTCTAAAGTCGATGGTCATGTGTGCCCTTCTTTCTTTTTTTTACTGTTTTTGGTTTTAAATCGGATTTTTAATTCAAATTATAATACTAGTAAACTTTGCATTTACATGTTTTTAAACTCTTAAGAACAAAAATTAACCTAAACATTAATGACGAGCCACTAATTTTAGCCCATCACTCTCACATATCTCGCTTGTGTCTTCATAAAATTCAGTTGTGGTATATGAGAGAGACCATTCACCTCTTAATGCTTTTATAATTTCTTTAGTGTTTTTGTTTTGTTCCATACCTAACCCATGTGCTTCCCATTTCTATATACCTCCAATTCCAAACACATCCCTTTTGTTAATGCTAATCCCAAAATTTATTTTCATTCTTCCGCTGATCAAATCCCTATTTTGAATCTATGATAAAGTGACGTGACTGATTTGTAAACAAATGTTATATTTTACAAACAAAAACTGTGAAGAGTCAAGCTAAAGAAATGTTTGATTTGATCAACAACTCCGTTCAGCTTTCAGCTTTAAAAAGTAGTGAAAGCTTTATAATTTTCTCAGAAACATGGACAAATCTTAAAACTCCAAACACTGCAGTTTCTTAGAAGAATCTCAAGAATCTATATATTATTACTTAAAATCATATTTTTGTTTGCCAATTAACAGATTAAAATTAGAGAAATTGGGTTGTGTAACAAAGAAATAAAAGGTAATTAGAAAAATTAAAAAAAATGAAGGGAAAATATACTAAAATCTGTACTCTTTTAAGTTAAATTTTGGAGATTACATGGAACTGAGATTTAGATACAACAAGAGAACTAAAATAAACACCTTTCGTAAATATACACTCAAAAACTTCACAAAATATATAATTAACAAATAAAATAAAATAAAAAACGTTTGTTTTAGGAATGCCAAATACCACCAAGTATGGTGCGGAATCTGTTCCTAGATAGCTTCTTCACAAGTTTCTTAGCATCTGAATCTTCTCTTTCAGCTACTTTCTCTATGCTTTTCAAGTATCCAGAACCCGAAATCTTTCTTCTCGCGCTATTGCACCTTGTTAACGACATCAATATCGAAATCAAGAACTTAGTATTACCCAAATCGCTTCTCTCATTGCTCATTTCCTCATGATCTAGCAATTGAAGAATGTAGCTAATGTTACCGTCCTCCTGCAAGAACTTCTTCCTGTTCTTTGGGACCGAGATCAAGCAATAGAGCGCTTCGCTTGCCATTTCCCGGACATGTAAAGATTTAGCATCAAGGAATCTAACTAACTCAGGCATAAAACCCGCATCGCCCATTATCCTTTTAACCTCCATCGGCAAACTACACAGCCTGAACGTGACCTTTAACGCCGAGTCTTGAACAGAGATTTCCCCATTTCTCAGTAAATACAGCAAATGATCTAAGAAACGGCTACTCATCAGTGCATTCAAGTAACTTACTGACCCAAAACACAAGTTATGAATCGCCCTCAATGCCATTTCTTTAGCTTTCGAAGAGGACAATGCATTAGGATCTGATACAAGCACAAGCTCTTGGATTCCTCCTTCTCTAACAAACATCTCACGGTTTTGTTCATCTCTACAACACATACTTGACAAGAGATCAATGGAATTCACCTGTACAATCTCGTCCTTCGATCCTATAAGCTTGATGAAAGTAGAAACCATGTCTTCCTCAATCATATACCTCTTGATCTCTTCAACACCCACTAAATTCCTCAACACTCCACACGAACTAGCGATCAATTCGCCACCAAATTCACCACAAGAACAAATCTTTAACAGAGCCGCAACTCCCCCATGAGCAGAGACCGACCAAGCATTCTCTGAGTTCTCAGTTAATTTCATCAAACACCTTGCGGACACTTCTCTACCAACACCGTTTCCGTTTTCAAGAACCCTAACCAGAGGACCAACCACACAAGATCGGATCAAAACAGGTTTATACGAACCAAACCCAGAGATCAACAACATAACCTTACAAGCTTCCTCTTGAATCCCAACCTCAGAATCCAGAAACTCAACAAGAACATTAACCATGTCGCTAGTTTCCATAACAATCTTCGTATACCTATCATCTTCTTCCATTGATTCATGAAGCTTAATCAAAGCTAGCTTCTTCATCTCCAAATCCCCAATCTTCATCCTCGTGAACAAATCCCTAATGTAAAACCTCATGTCGTCTCTACAAGCTTTACCATTCGGCTTCGATACAACGATCGCAAACCCATGACTGAGAATCCCGGCGGAGTAAATCAGAGAGAGATTCCTCACATGACGGTCGAATTCCCCGGAGATAACATACAAATCGCTCTGCATCAAGAGCTTCCCACTGTACGAGACATTCAAGCATCGAGAAGCGAGATCGTGACACTCTTTAAGAGAACCCAGAATGGCGTTAATCAAGCTGGAGAGAGATGGGTCGAAACCGGAATCTAGATTCTCGACGGAAGCGATTCCGGAGTAGAGTTCCTCGAGCTTGCTCCGTATTAATTGCCATTTCACGGTGAAGGATTTGATTGAGTGAGAGAGTGAGATCAAAGAAGATATCGATTCGATTGCTCTCAAGATGATTGGTCTCGATTCCTCGCCCATTTCGTGGAAAGGTTCTTCTTTCTCAGTGGTTTAGAAGCAAACCCATCACGAATCTCTTCCTCGGAAAGTGATGAATTTGTGTCTACGACGAGGGAGAATGATTGAAGAAGATGAAGAATTCAAAGGGAATTTTGTTGGGTTTTTATTCAATTTGTTCGTGTTTTTTGTGAGCAGAAGGAAATGGAGGAAAAAAATGGAGGCTTTATTGTTACGGGAGTGGGCTTCTCGGTGGGGTTGGAGCAGGGACAAGTCGAGGAAGATGAAGGTATGGGCATTATGGTCATTTCGGATAATGATTTTTAAATTCAAGGTTCTTGTCTCTTCCTAAAATCAAAATATTAATTTATACTCCTGGAGAAAGTGAGCGGGAAAAATGAAGTGATTTTTTTTTGTTTTTTTTATTAACAAGAAAAAATCAGTGCATTTTTCTTAATAATATAATTTCATAATCTGGAATTAAAAACAGTCTTCTGATCGAATGTAGTGATAATATTGAAAAGGCATTATTTGCTAATGACGAAATATATATCCGAGATAAGTAAAATACAATGTGCTTCTTGTGTTACTATGTTGGGCTAATGAA